GAACATTTTTACATTTTAGTCATTTAGCAGACACTCTTATCCAGAGCGACTTACAGTTAGTGAGTGCATACATTTTCATACTGGCCCCCCGTGGGAAACGAACCCACAACCCTAGCACAACAACTAGCAGCTAAGTTTGAGTCCAGTGGTTGAGTTTGTCTCTGAATGACTATAAAAGAAGCCAAACTCATAAAAGGACATCAACTGATAGGAAATTGATAAGAGAAACTGAAGTAGTTTTCTATAAATTACCTTCTTAACCTAGTGTGTTTATGCTTGGCCAGACAGGTGATTTGAGATGTGAGGACCAGATTGTCTTCTATTTCTTTAGTCTCCTGTGAACGTGCGATCTAAGAAGACCTTTCAAAGCACTAATGTTAGGTTTGTCATAGTGGATCATCAAAGGTTTCCCATTGATTCATGTGCTCTCTCTCTCTCTCTCTCTCTGTGAAAGTGCACTCTGCCTGCCTTCAGTTTTATACTTTGCCACTACCCCTGCTACATCTGATAATTATTAGATAGGCTAGAGAAGTGCTCGTCTAGTTCAATGGCTAAAACTGTGCACTGCTGGCTCATTCCCAGTCCATTTAGATGTTTGATTTACATTTAAACTATTTAGGTTACAGAGATAAATCAATAGCTGACTTAATGGCCCGCTGTTTTAACTTCATGTATTGGCTTCATTATGCATTTGGGTCACGTTGAATACTGTGTTTTTCTCTGGTGTTAGTTTACTTTGCATTCTAACAAGGTTACTAACAGCATCATTTTCTCTTCTCCTTCATTAATTCACTACACTCCTCATGTTAACCTCTTGCTCCTCCTTTCTCTGTCATCTGTTTTCCTTCTTCCTCTTCTTTCTATTGTCCCCACTCTGTCTTCAACCTCCAATCCCACCCCCTCAACATGTTTCATGACTCTCCCTACACTCATTCCTTTACTCACCCTGTCCATCTCCCACATCTCAGTGTGATCAAGACCAGTGCATTCAGAGCACCAAATTCGTTTTGCAGGCTGCTGCCACACCGCTGCTGCAGAGTGAGCCAGTCATCCTCACAGACGAGGCATCTCTACCGGGCAGAACATCGCTAGGGGGTCCCTGCTCTGGAGCGCTGCCGCTGGGGGGTCAGCCCACACCCCCTACCTCCACCCTCAACCTCAGCTGTGACAACGACATGCTGCCTCTCCGGAATGACCACAGCGACGGGCTACGACACCACCACACGGACGGGGGCCACCACCACTTCCTCACGCCCGAGGAAGTGCCCTCGCCACCGGGCATGCTCCCTTGCAACAGTCCCATTGGACACAGCCACACCTTGCAGGGCTTCTACAACCCAGCCAGCCAGGACTCTCTACACGAGGACTCTGTCAGAGGCCTGGTCAAACTCAGCTCTGTCTGACAGGGGGTTCACTCAAACATCCCTCTGTCCCTTAAAACACTCCTCCCTTATATCCACACCCGTGCCAAACAGTGGGTCGTCTCAACCCTGAACGCCTGTAACCAATATCCTCTCCATCCTCTAAAATCACAGGACTTGAGCCTCTAAAATACTGTGGTACTATTTGGCTGCTGAGAGCAGAGCAGAACTGACCTGAACGGGGACCTTCCCTCCTCAGCCGACAACTTGCCAAACCTCTGCATCATAACGGGGTTGTTGCTGGTGAAGGGCCAAGGGGACTTTGCCATAGTATAAACAGACACAAATGTCCAGTGCTCCTGTTTTCTACTGAAGTATGTCCTCTGTCCTGGGAGGGGGACAGACAAAGGAAAGGAGTGGAGGAGGAAAAACAGAAGTGGTGGATGTATGTACGGTGGTGGATATATGGCTATTTAAAGCAAAAAATAGTGTTGTGACAGCTATTCCTAAACATGTTAAAGAAAAGCTGCTTTATTTCTATCATGAATCACGGTTCTGGCATTTTCTTTTTTTGTACAACGGACTATGGCCTACTTGTTGATCACTGATGGACAATGTCTGATGAGATTCTAGTTGACAGTCGACAGTGCAATCAGTAAACAAGAGTTGGTGTCATCATGTTGCTAGCCTTAGTGGAGTTGCCAACAACCGGATGTATCTGGTTTTCAGGGATACAGCTAATTCAACCTAGCTTCCTTTTCCACTGGAAACCGGATGTGGAAACGCCACTCAGGCATTTTCTTTTACGCCTGCTACGTTAGGTTATGTTTCATATCATTCAATTCATTTTTTTCTTTTTAAGTTACATGTTAAAAATATTTGGTGTTGTGCCATACTAATGTAATGTTTTCTCCTCACATTATACTTCCTGTGGATATATTAATAAAATCACATATTTTTAAGGTACTAGATTCTTTCTGTTGAAGCCAAGCCCTAAGGTGACCAGTTGAAAGTAATGTGTTATCATCTCTGACGTCACACATCCTTTGGTAGGTCTTTAAAAGGTAGCCTTGTGACGAGTGCCTGTGGTTACTGCAGCTAACATCACAAACGATTCAACAGTATAAAATCGTACATGATGTATTGAGGGTGAGTCCTGCTGTAGGCTGGTCTCAGGTAATGGTCCATTCATCGGGGGTCGGAGGCCTCTGGACCTCCAGCTACAGCATCATAGAGACTGGGGAAAACAAGGGCTCTCTGTCACCAGACATACTCACCTCTTTGTGTGCACTAAAGTCAATGAAAGTGACTATAGGCTTACTTCAGAAGCATTTCCCTAAGCCACGTGGATTTGCTATTTTTAATGTGAAGAAGCAAACTCCATAGGAAACCACTTCTCATTGGAAAACATCACATTATACTAGAGCCTTTGCCTCTGCATGTTTTGAGTGTGAAAGAAGGGCTGGTCAACTGCTGTCGTTTGTACCCCTTAACTTATAGCCCCATCTGGTGGTTGAAGAGGAGAAATGTACATTTACATTTACATTTTAGTGACTCGACCTAAATGTACCTATGTTGGAGCGGTAATAAATGTGCGTACTGTAGATATCACAGGTAATTGAGGACCTGGTGGACAGATGAACAAATGGAAAAAAGACCCCAGAGGAATATTCCAATCATCATACATTTATTTTAAAAGCACTTGAACTATTTATAATACATTACATACAGTAGATTATTTATATTATGTACAGCAGAAGGAAACAGACAACATCTACAAGGTCTTTTGCTTTGCAAATATACCCGGTCACACTTAGTGCACCACTGGAGGAAGGGCCACTGCTGGAAGATGACATATCAGTAGTGAAATATTAAGAAATGACTGTTAAAAGCTAATAAAATGGGTGAAATGCATGACTGAAAAATAATTTGCATAGAGGTGGCAGAAATGACCAGCTCAAATGGTTAGTAGAGTTACTGTGGCCAAGCAAGAAAGGAAAATGGCCATACAGTCATACAACACTAATTGATTAACATGCATTCATTATTTTCATTGGAATCCTCATCAACCAGTGTATTTGGTTTGACCCTGTATTGTACTTGTGCTTTGATTGAAGCGCACTAGACTAGATCATATGGTCGGTGAACTTAGACAACTAGATTTGTCAATTTCTGTGGTTGCACATACAGATAGAGTATTTGACTTTGTAATGCAGCCTTTCAGGCCATATTGCCTTTCTAAGATATGCTCTTTAAATCAGGGTTTTCATATTCCTGATAAATATATTCTAAGGATGGCCTCCGGAGTGGCGCAGCGGTCTAAGGCACTGCATCGCAGTGCTAAAGGCGTCAATACAGACCCGGGTTCGATCCCGGCCGTGATCGTGAGTCACATAGGGCGGCGCACAATTGGCCCAGCGTTGTCCGGGTTAGGGGAGGGTTTGGCCGGGGGGCTTTACTTGGCTCATCGCGCTCTAGCGACTCCTTGTGGCGGGCCGGCCGCCTGCAGGCTGACATTGTTCGTCAGTTGAATGTTGTTTCCTCTGACACACTGGTGCGGCTGGCTTCAGGGTTAAGCGGGCGGTGTTAAGAAGTGCGGTTAGGCGGGTCATGTTTCGGAGGACGCATGACTCGACCTTCGCCTCCCAAGCCCATTGGGGAGTTGCAGCGATGAGACGATCAAAATTGGGGAGAAAAAGGGTGAAAATATATATATATTCTGAGGGTTGCTAAGCAGCTCCTGTAACCATCCTACAATTTGTTTCAACACTGAGGAACCTGAGATGGGGGAATGTTTATGGAATTGTTTAGTGATATAAGTATTTCATTTAAAAATAACAAAACATTGTGCAGCTCCAAGAAATGTTGTAGTCGACCCCTTCCAAATCACGGTCCCTGTAGATGTAAATTGTAATTTAGCAGCCTTCCACCAATAAGTTAATAGCCTTGTTTATACCTGGTGCTAATGTGTCCTTTGTCCTGATTATACCCAAATTTTTTGACAGGTGTAGCCAATTAAGACTCATTGCGATCCGATCTTCCTGACCACCTCCGGAGGTAGTCAGACACGCTTTGTATCTGAAAATCAATCAAGTGTAAACAGACTTGGATGGTCAAATCATTTAAATCATAATTATACCGGCCTCTAAATCATTGACAGGTAGCACCATTGATTTACGGCATCAATAATTGTCTAAAATAAATAAATTCATATTCATTTAAATAATATCTGTCAAATAATTTGCATACAGGGAGGCACCAGGAAATCCAGTCACAATGCGGACACAGTGAACGATGACACATTTTAATACCATGTGTAGATGCGACAAGCCTAGATCCGATAGTGATTGGATCATATTGATCAGATCACAAAACCCACTGGTTAGCACAAGGTGTAAACGAGGCTAATGTTTCTATAATACTCTAATATTTTAGACATTATTCCAGATTCCCTTACACATTGCACCCGATAATGCATACAAGTATACTGACTGTCAAGTCCTGTGGATCCACTCAAAAAGATCAGAGGCTACCTTAGTTGTAAACAGTCCTCATGGCGCAGACATTGGGGGGGAGGGTTGTTGTTGTAACCGGGCCTGTCGTCCAGAATGGGGCTTAGCTTAGCCTCATTGTCCTGGGTCACCACAGCTTGACGTCCATCAGCTCCAGGTCTCCCATGATCTCCAGTTGGTTGATGGTGCTCAGGTCCTGCACCCGGTGTCTGTAGTCCAGCAGGTGAGAGCCATTCACCGCCAGCTTGAACTGGTGGGGCTGGCAGAGGATAAGCATCTGGGGCAGAGAGAGTACTTGTAGTGAAAAAGACTAGTGAGAGTTCCAATAATACAGGTAACGTGCAGGTGATGTGAGAACTGATAAATGGGCTTATTTAGAAACAACAACCATCTGAACAAAGTAAAAAAAAATGCAGTACCAGTCAAAAGTTTGGACAGACCTACTCATTCAAGGGTTTTTCTTTATTTTCACTATTTTCTACATTGTAATAACCAAAAAAGTGTTAAACAAATCAAAACATATTTTATATTTGAGATTCTTCAAATAGCCACCCTTTGTAGCCACCCTTTGCCTTGATGACAGCTTTGCACACTCTTGGCATTCTCTCAACCAGCATCACCTGGAATGCTTTTCCAACAGTCTTGAAGGAGTTCCCACATATGCTGAGCACTTGTTTGCTGCTTTTCCTTCACTCTGCCGTCCGACTCATCCCAAACCATCTCAATTGGGTTGAGGTCGGGGGATTGTGGAGGCCAGGTCATCTGATGCAGCACTCCATCACTATCCTTATTGGTAAAATAGCCCTTATCAAATCAAATCAAATTATATTTGCCACATGTGCCGAATACAACAGGTGAATGCTTAACCAACAATGCAGTTTTAAGAAAAAAAAGTGTTAAGTAAAAAATAGTAAAAAAATTAAAGAGCAGCAGTAAAATAAAATAACAGTAAGGAGGCTATATACAGGGGGTACCAGTACAGAGTCAATGTGCGGGGGCAATGCAAATAGTCCGGGTAGCCATGATTAGCTGTTCAGGAGTCTTATGGCTTGGGGGTAGAAGCCTTTTGGACCTAAACTTGGCGCTCCGGTACGGCTTGCCGTGCGGTAGCAGAGAGAACAGTCTATGACTAGGGTGGCTGGAGTCGTTGACAATTTTTAGGGCCTTCCTCTGACACCGCCTGGTATAGAGGTCCTGGATGGCAGGAAGCTTGGCCCCAGTGATGTACTGGGCTGTACGCACTACCCTCTAGTGCCTTGCGGTCGGAGTGCCGAGCAGTTGCCATACCAGGCGGTGATGCAACCAGTCAGGATGCTCTCGATGGTGCAGCTGTCTAACTTTTTGAGGATCTGAGGACCCATGCCAAATCTTTTCAGTCTGAGGGGGAATAGGCTTTGTCGTGCCCTCTTCACGACTGTCTTGGTGTGTTTGGACCATGATAGTTTGTTGGTGATGTGGACACCAAGGAACTTGAAGCTCTCAACCTGTTCCACTACAGCCCGTCGATGAGAATGGGGGCGTGCTCAGACCTCTTTTTTTTCCTGTAGTCCACAATCATCTCCTTTGTCTTGATCACGTTGAGGTAGAGGTTGTTATCCTGGCACCACACGGCCAGGTCTCTGACCTCCTCCCTATAGGCTGTCTCGTCGTTGTCGGTGATCAGGCCTTCGTCGGCAAACTTAATGATGGTGTTGGAGTCGTGCCTGGCCATGCAGTCATGGGTGAACAGGAAGTACAGGAGGGGACTGAGCACACACCCCTGAGGGGCCCCCATGTTGAGGATCAGCGTGGCAGATGTGTTGTTACCTACCCTTACGACCTGGGGGCGGCTCGTCAGGATGTCCAGGATCCAGTTGCAGAGGGAGGTGTTTAGTCCCAGGGTCCTTAGCTTAGTGATTAGCTTTGAGGGCACTATGGTGTTGAACGCTGAGCTGTAGTCAATGAATAGCATTCTCACGTAGGTGTTCCTCTTGTCCAGGTGGGAAAGGGCAGTGTGGAGTGCAGTAGAGATTGCATCATCTGTGGATCTGTTGGGGCGGTATGCAAATTGGAGTGGGTCCAGGGTTTCTGGGATAATGGTGTTAATGTGAGCCATGACCAGCCTTTCAAAGCACTTCATGGCTACAGAAATGAGTGCTACGGGTCGGTAGTCATTTAGGCAGGTTATCTTAGTGTTCTTGGGCACAGGAATTATGGTGGTCTGCTTGAAACATGTTGGTATTACAGACTCAGTCAGGGACATGTTGGAAATGTCAGTGAGACACTTGCCAGTTCGTCAGCGCATCCTCGGAGTACACGTCCTGGTAATCCGTCTGTGAATGTTGACCTGCTTAAAAGTCTTACTCACATTGGCTACGGAGAGCGTGATCACATAGTCATCCGGAACAGCTGATGCTCTCATGCATGCTTCAGTGTTGCTTGCCTCGAAGCGAGCATAGAAGTGATTTAGCTCGTCTTGTTGGCTCGTGCCACTGGGCAGCTCGCGGCTGTGCTTCCCTTTGAAGCCCTGCCACATCTGACGAGCGTCAGAGCCGGTGTAGTACGATTCAATCTTAGTCTTGTATTGACTATTTGCCTCTTTGATGGTTCGTCGGAGGGCATAGCGGGATTTCTTTTAAGCGTCTGGGTTAGAGTCCCGCTCCTTGAAAGCGGCAGCTCTACCCTTTAGCTCAGTGCGGATGTTGCCTGTAATCCATGGCTTCTGGTTGGGATATGTACGTACGGTCACTGTGGGGATGACGTCATTGATGCACTTATTGATGAAGCCAGTGACTGATGTGGTGTACTCCTCAAAGCCATCGGAAGAATCCCTGAACACATTTCAATCTGTGCTAGCAAAATAGTCCTGTAGCTTAGCATCTGCGTCATCTGACCACTTCCTTATTAACCGAGTCACTGGTGCTTCCTGCTTTAGTTTTTACTTATAAGCAGGAATCAGGAGGATAGAATTATGGTCAGATTTGCCAAATGGAGGGCGAGGGAGAGCTTTGTACGCGTCTCCGTGTGTGGAGTAAAGGTGGTCTAGAGTTTTTTTCCCTCTGGTTACACGTTTAACATGCTGGTAGAAATTAGGTAGAACGGATTAAGTTTCCCTGCATTAAAGTCCCCGGCCACTAGGAGCACTGCCTCTGGATGAGCGTTTCCTGTTTGCTTATGGCCTTATACAGCTCATTGATTGCAATCTTAGTGCCAGCATCGGTTTGTGGTAGTAAGTAGACAGCTACGAAAAATATAGTAGAAAACACTCTTGGTAAATAGTGTGGTCTACAGCTTATCATGAGATACTCTACCTCAGGCGAGCAAAACCTCGAGACTTCCTTAGTATTAGATTTTATGCACCAGCTGTTGTTTACAAATATACACAGACCGCCACCCCTTGTCTTACCAGAGTCAGCCGTTCTATCCTGCCGATGTAGTGTCTATCCCACCAGCTGTATGTTATCCATGTTGCCGTTCAGCCACAACTCGGTGAAACATAAGATATTACAGTTTTTAATGTCCCGTTGGTAGGATATCCTTGATCTTAGGTCGTCCATTTTGTTTTCAAATGATTGTACGTTGGCTAATAGGATTGATGGAAGAGGCAGATTAATCGCTCGCCGTCAGCTCCTTACAAGGCACCCCGACCTACGTCCATATCTCCGTCTCTTTCTCATGCCAATGACAGGGATTTGGACCTAGTCGGGTGTCTGTAGAATATCCTTCGCGTCCGATTCGTTGAAGAAAAAATCTTCGTCCAATACGAGGTGAGTAATCGCTGTGCTGATATCCAGAAGCTCTTTTTGGTCATAAGAGACGGTGGCAGAAACATTATGTACAGAATAAATTACAAATAACGCGAAAAAACACCCATAATAGCACAATTGGTTAGAGGGCCGTAAAACGGCCTGGAGGTGTGTTGGGTCATTGTCCTGTTGAAAAACAAATGATAGTCCCACTAAGCCCAAACCAGATGGGATGGTGTATCGCTGCAGAATGCTGTGGTAGCCATGCTGGTTAAGTGTGCCTTGAATTCTAAATAAATCAAAGACAGTGTCACCAGCAAAGCACCCCCACACCATACCACCTCCTCCTCCATGCTTTACGGTGGGAACTACACGTGCGGAGATCATCCATTCACCCCACACCGCGTCTCACAAAGACTCCAGACCAAAGGACAAATTTCCACCTGTCTAATGTCCATTGCTCGTGTTTCTAGGCCCAAGCAGGTCTCTTCTTCTTACTGCTGTCTTTTAGTAGTGGTTTCTTTGCTGCAATTCGACCATGAAGGCCTGATTCACACAGTCCCCTCTGAACAGTTGATGTTGAGATGTGTCTGTGACTTGAACTCTGTAAAGCATTTATTTGGGCTGCAATTTCTGAGGCTGGTAACTCTAATGTACTTATCCTCTGCAGCAGAGGTAACTCTGGGTCTTCCATTCCTGTGGCGGTCCTCATGAGAGCCAGTTTCATCATAGTGCTTGATGGTTTTTGCGACTGCACTTGAAGAAACTTTCAAAGTTCTTGAAATTTTCTGTGATGACTGACCTTGTCTTAAAGTAATGATGGACTGTCGTTTCTCTTTGCTTATTTGAGATGTTCTTACCATAATATGGATTTGGTATTTTACCAAATAGGGCTATCTTCTGTATACCCCCCTACCTTGTCACAACACAACTGATTGTCTCAAACGCATTAAGAAGGAAATAAATTCCACAAATGAACTTTTAAGAAGGCACACCTGTTAATTGAAATGCATTCCAGGTGACCTCATGAATCTGCTTGAGAGAATTCCAAGAGTGTGCAAAGCTGTCATCAAGGCAAAGGGTGTCTATTTGAAGAATCTCAAATATAAAATATATTTTGATTTGTTTGACACTTTTGTGGTTACTACATGTGTTAATTCATCGTTTTGATGTCTTCACTATTATTCTACAATGTAAAAATAAAGAAAAAGCCTTGAATGAGTAGGTGTGTCCAAACTTTTGACTGGTAGTGTACGTCTACTGTATATTAAGAGGCAGCATACCTCAAAGTACTCCCCAGGCGAGAATGGGAAGAGGGGAAGCTCCCTCTCCTCTGGTCCCCAGGACTCACTCAGGTAGGAGTTCCTGATGACCATGGCCGACTTCATCCGGGGGTTCAGGTGCAGAGCGATGTTCTCAGTGCTGCTGTTGCGGAGGTTCACAGTGAAGCTGCCAGACAGGAGGTTCATCAGACAACAATGATGCAGGCTATTCTACAGTATGTTATTGATAGTGGGCACTGGGCAGTCCCAGTCCTGACCTTACACACCACCTCAAAGGTACACTGTCTATTTTTTTTTTTTAAACATGCTTTAAATACTGAGTAGTGTCCCATTGCTTACCTGTGTGGGTACATGTTGACCTGTCCCTTGATTGTGATGTGCTGTCCTGGACTCACCCCTTTCAGTAGACTGCCTTTGTAAGGGAGACTCTGGAAATGCATCAGATTTAGGCCATGTCTGTAATCTATTCAACATATTGATGCAATTGGTCATGTTGCCTTACATAGATTTATCCTTTATAGTTTATGGAAAATATAACACAACTCACCAGGTCACCTGATTCACCTGATAATGAATATATTGCCTACAGGAGAAAATAATAATAAAGACAGTCATTATAGAGCGAGCTGAAAACCTAATTTATTCTAGTATGGACATATAGTAGAGTAATGGGGTGGTACTTACTGAGTTTGGTATGAAGCCAATGGCGTGCACCTTAACTTTCCCAGATATAGATAGTGTGTCAATCCTGTCCAGTGGGATTCTGTGCTTGTATTCTAACAAATGAGAACCATTTACTGCCACCTGCAGGTACAAAGGAGAACAGCATTCACACAACATCATATAAATCCATTATACTGTATTTGCTTGACTTTTGCATGAGTCTACTAGCTTCTTGTGACTCAATAGTAGTGAATGTGCAAGCAAATGTAGGATAGGGAGTTTTTCTTGTTCGTGGCCTAATTGAAGAAGACTTTGCTCCCAGTTTTAACTGGTTAGGTCACCTTCAACATGGGTATGTATGGTAAGTCAATTAACTCCCATTGGTCCACTTGCCTTAAAGTCGTCATCATGGACCAGGATTATCGTCTCGAAGGCTGCTCCCTGTCTGTAGGGCAGCTGCTGAAGGGTCTCCTCCCTGCCCCAACTCTCCTGCACCAGGGAGTTACACACGACGCACAGGGAGCCCTTAAAACGGGGGTTGAAGTGGAAGGCAATGTCTGCACGAGGTTTAGTACTGCTGCCACAGGACAGGTCCATCTGGAACCTGCAGTTATCACATTGGTGTGTATTAGAGTTTCAAAATGTCTAAAAGCAAAGGTGGGGACTCAAGTCGCACTAAATGTATAATTTTTTTGTTGAACTGGGTTGGGTAAACATTTTTTGCAAGCTTAACATATTTTTTAGCTAGGTAAACTTATTATTTTTGGAGTGGGTTGAACTTATGTGTTTTTTTTAGTTGGGTGAACTTATTTTTTTCTAGTTGGATAAGCATATTTTTTTCAGTTGAGCCTGGGTGTGGACATGAAGCTAGGGTTGTGGTTGAGGGTTAGGGTTGAACCAGGATGTGGACGTGAAGCTATAATTCAAATGAAATCAAAATGTAATCACATTTAATTAGTCACATGCTTCGTAAACAACAGGTGTAGACTAACAGTGAAATGCTTACTTACGGGCCCTTCCCAACAATGCAGAGAGAAAAATAGAAACATTTTAGAAAAAAATGACACAAGGAATAAATACACAATGGGTAACGATAATTTGGCTATATACACAGGGTACCAGTACTGAGTCGATGTGCAAGGTTACGAGGTAATTGAGGTAGATACAGTATGGTCATCTATGCTGCAATAGTCTATGTGCCGGGGGCTAGGGTCAGTCTGTTATATCTGGTGTTATTCTCCTGTCTTATCCGGTGTCCTGTGTGAATTTAAGTATACTCCCTCTAATTCTCTCTCTCTCCCTCTCTCCCTCCCATCCCGGAGGACATGAGCCCTAGGACCATGCCTCAGGACTACCTGGCCTGATGACTCCTTGCTGTCCCCAGTCCACCTGGTCGTGCTGCTGCTCCAGTTTCCACTCTTCTGCCTGCGGCTATGGAACCCTGACCTGTTCACCGGACGTGCTACCTTGTCCCAGACCTGCTGTTTTCAACTCTCTCTCTCTACCGCACCTGCTATTTCAACCTCTAAATGCCCGGCTATGAAAAGCCAAGTGACATTCACTCCTGATGTACTGACCTGTTGCAACCCCTACAACTACTGTGATTATTATTTGACCCTGCTGGACATCTATGAACATTTGAACATCTTGGAGAAAAATCTGGCCTTAATGGCCATGTACTGTTATAATCTCCACCCGGCACAGCCAGAAGGGGACTGGCCACCCCTCAGAGCCTGGTTCCTCTCTAGGTTTCTTCCTAGGTTTCTGCCTTTCTAGGGAGTTTTTCCTAGCCACCGTGCTTCTACATCTGCATTGCTTGCTGTTTGGGGTTTTAGGCTGGGTTTCTGTATAGCACTTTGTGACATCTACTGATGTAAAAAGGGCTTTATAAATAAAATTGGATTGATTGATTGATTGATTGATTGATACTGTAGGTATGGAGGAAAGTGTCTAGGCAACAGGATAGATAATAAACAGTAGCAGCAGCGTATGTGATGAGTCAAAAGAGTGCAAAAAGGGTCAATGCAGATAGTCTGGGTACCTACAGTGCCTTGAAAAAGTATTCATCCCCCTTGGCGTTTTTCCTATTTTGTTGCATTGCAACCTGTAATTTAAATGGATTTTTATTTGCATTTCATATAATAGACATACACAAAATAGTCCAAATTGGTGAAGTGAAATGAAACAAATTACTTGTTTCAAAAAATTCTAAAAAATAATCACGGAAAAGTGGTGGGTGCATATGTATTCACCCCCTTTGCTATGAAGCCCTAAATGAGATCTGGTGCAACCAATTACCTTCAGAAGTCACATAATTAGTTAAATAAAGTCCACCTGTGTGCAATCTAAGTGTCACATGATCTGTCACATGATCTCAGTATACACCACTAAGCAAGGGGCACCAACAAGCAAGCGACACCATGAAGACCAAGAAGCTCTCCAAACAGGTCAGGGACAAAGTTGTGGAGAAGCACAGATCAGTGTTGGGTTATTTAAAAATATCAGAAACGTTGAACATCCCACGGAGCACCATTAAATCCATTAATAGAAAATAGAAAGACTATGGCACCACAACAAACCTGCCAAGAGAGGGCCGCCCACCAAAACTCACGGACCAGGCAAGGAGGGCATTAATCAGAGAGGCAACAAAGAGACCAAAGATAACCCTGAAGGAGCTGCAAAGCTCCACAGCGGAGATTGGAGTATCTGTCCATAGGACCACTTTAAGCCATACACTCCACAGAGCTGGGCTTTACGGAAGAGTGGCCAGAAAAAAGCCATTGCTTAAAGAAAAAAATAAGCAAACACGTTTGGTGTTCGCCAAAAGGCATGTGGGAGACTCCCCAAACATATGGAAGAAGGTACTCTGGTCAGATGAGACTAAAATTTAGCTTTTTGGCCATCAAGGAAAATGCTATGTCTGGCGCAAACCCAACACCTCTCATCACCCCGAGAACACCATCCCCACAGTGAAGCATGGTGGTGGCAGCATCATGCGGTGGGGATGTTTTTAATCGGCAGGGACTGGGAAACTGGTCAGAATGGAAGGAATGATGGATGGCGCTAAATACAGGGAAATTCTTGAGGGAAACCTCTTTCAGTCTTTCAGAGATTTGAGACTGGGACGGAGGTTCACCTTCCAGCAGGACAATGACCCTAAGCATACTGCTAAAGCAACACTAAAGTGGTTTAATGGGAAACCTTTAAATGTCTTGGAATGGCCTAGTCAAAGCCCAGACATCAATCCAATTGAGAATATGTTGTATGACTTAAAGATTGCTGTACACCAGCGGAATCCATCCAACTTGAAGGAGCTGGAGCAGTTTTGCCTTGAAGAATGGGGGAGGGGTGAATAGTTATGCACGCTCAAGTTGTCTGTTTTTTTGTCTTATATCTTGTTTGTTTCACAATAAAAAATATTTTGCATCTTCAAAGTGGTAGGCATGTTGTGTAAATCAAATGATAGAAACCCCAGGTTGTAAGGCAACAAAATAGGAAAAATGCCAAGGATGGTGAATACTTTCGCAAGCCACTGTATTTGCTTAAGTATTTAGCAGTCTTATGTCTTGGGGGTAGAAGCTGTTCAGGGTCCTGCTAGTTCCAGACTCGGTGCATCGGTACCGCTTGCCATGCGGTAGCAGAGAGAACAGTCTATGACTTGGGTGGCTGGAGTCTGACCATTTTTAGGGCCTTCCTCTGACACCACCTGGTATAAAGGTCCTGGATGGCAGGGAGCTCGGCCCCAGTGATGTACTGAGCCATATGCATTACCCTCCGTAGCGCCTTTCCGCTAGATTCCACCCACAACCACAAAGTCAACATTTTCTGTATCGTACAAATTCATGAAAACAAAAATGTGCTTTTTGGGCATGATAAACCAGGTGAAATTAGCGGAAGGGAGGGGTTTGGTCGAGAGTTTCCGTTTACGAGCGAGGACCCTAATTTCGCTTCCTTCTTTTGCACAAAGGTGATCACAATTGTTAATGGCATTCCCCCCAGAAGTCAAACAGGAAATGACAAACTTTAGCGACATCATTTTACTTCTGAGTAAGCGGAATTAGGGTTAGGTTGAACCGGGATATGGAAATAAAATTAGGGTTAGGGAAAACAACATAACATCATCACATGTGGTCCTCTGTAGCTCAGCTGGTAGAGCACGGCGCTTGTAACGCCAAGGTAGTGGGTTCGATCCCCGGGACCACCCATACACAAAAATGTATGCACGCATGACTGTAAGTCGCTTTGGATAAAAGCGTCTGCTAAATGGCATATTATATATTATATTATATCACATACCTGTCAGCATCATTGTGAACAGTGCCCTGGATAATGACCATCTCCCCAGGGTGTAGGCCCCCAGGTATGGCCCCAGTGAATGGAATCACCTGAATAGAGGTAAGAGAGGCTTAATAAAGGCCAAACATAATCAAATCATATTCGCCCTGTGTCTGTGTGTGTGTGTGGCCTATGCCATTATTTATCAATACATTCAATAGCCTCTATCCCATAGCGGATACACAAGATCGTATAAAATCATTACACATGCCAACAGGATTTCGGCCCGACAATTGTAGGCTACAATGAAATGACTGCAAAACGATGGACGATATAGCTGCACATATAAGCTACCTATTGACGACTAAACAAATACCTGCGGTAGCCTAATATGCAGGGTAGGCTATTCAATGTGTCAGAATTATTTTATTCCCATAGTTGAGAAAGGGAGAGTTTTGCTGTGAGTAGTAGAGGTAGGCTAATGAACAAGCCTCTTACCGGATTTAGGACAGTTTGTTTCGCATTTGCCACAGCCATTGGGCCCGTTATGCAACACTACCATACAGCGGTTACCTATACCGCTAAATGATTGCAAAGAATGTAGAACGAATTGGGTCGATGTTTTTATTTTCTGCTATATTCAGATGGCAGTAGGCATCTTCTCTCCATCTTCTATTCAATTACCTACTACGTCACACACGCACTATGCGCAAGCATGTGATCCAGGCTATGTGCAGTGACAGGCTGCCGCTACTATATCCAAAAAAGCTTAAGATAAAATGGACTGGAGACCAAATAAATTGCAAAACACACATCTGTAGCATATATAGCAATAGGCGTAAATAAATGTAGCCTACAATAAAATACAGTTCTCAAAAATAAGGCCATGGAATAAAATACAATCTAAAAAGCTTTCTCTAAAGTCTAGGCTAGTAAACCAATAAAGAAATAGGCCCTTATGCCTAAAGAATAGCTCGAAATGTAGCTCAAAATCTTTGGAATAATTCCAAAGCGCGTAACGTTACACGTGCACTCTCTCTCTCTCTCTCTCTCTCTCTCTCTCTCTCTCTCTCTCTCTCTCTCTCTCTCTCAATTCAATTTCAATTTCAATTTAAGGGCTTTATTGGCATGGGAAACGTATGTTAACATTGCCAAAGCAAGTGAAGTAGATAGTAAACAAAAGTGAAATGAACAAAACAATTAACAGTAAACATTACACTCAGAAGTTCCAAAAGAATAAAGACATTTCAAATGTCATATTATGTATATATACAGTGTTGTAACAATGTGCAAATAGTTAAAGTACAAATGGGAAAATAAATAAACATAAATATGGGTTGTATTTACAATGGTGTTTGTTATTCACTGGTTGCCCTTTTCTTGTGGCAACAGGTCACAAATATTGCTGCTGTGATGGCACCCTGTGGTTTTTCACCCAGTAGATAAGGGAGTTTATCAAAATTGGGTTTGTTTTCGAATTCATTGTGGATCTCTCTCTCTCTCTCTCTCTCTCTCTCTCTCTCTCTCTCTCTCTCTCTCTCTCTCTCTCTCTCTCTCTCTCTCTCTCTCTCACTCACACACACACACACACACACACACACACACTCCATTGAGTTGCCTCAATTACGTTGCAATTATTGACAAATTATTTAAATAATTTCCTAAATAATTAATTTATATTACGATCAAAATGTAGGCTATTACAACTTAGTCTAAATATTCTGGTTAACGTATGGGTACAAGTCTGTAGCTATTATTCCACTACTTACCACTCCTGTCATGCTAAACATTGGGCATATGACACGAAGTAGCCTACAAGGAGTGAATGTTAACAGACTGGTACTCAGGCTAGGATAGGCCTACTGAAGTTCAACAAAAGTTGAACAGGAGGCCAAAGCTCGCAAGTTTCCAGGGAGATACCTGTATGGCAAGTATGATGTCAGACAGATCTGGGTTAAACATGTTTGGCTCTATGGCAACGTTCCTCTGTGATTCTATATGGCAACGTTCCTCTGTGATTCTATCCACCTTTATTTTGCGTGCCAGACGTCTCGAACCAGTCGAGGTGGATAGCACCCTAGGTCCGTGTATTTTGTGCATCAACATGCACATCTTCTGGACTGCCATTCCCTTCAGGAGGTTTTACTCCGACGAACCCGAGCTTATTCCTCCGGAGCTTCGCAGACCCCCACCGATCAAGCCTCCCCCGGACGGTGGATGGGGATGGGTGATTGTCTTATCATCGTTCCTCTATAATGTCCTGGTACTGGGATATCACAACTCCTTCGGAGTGTACCTCATCAGTCTCCTCAAAGAGTTTGGGGAGACAAGTTCTAAAACAGGCAAGTTACCCTAAACTGCACATAATCACATAACGTATCCAACCTGGTCTCAGAGCATTTCGTATTCAACCCAATATCATTGTGAAATGTAGAATTAGGTTACACACTGTAAACTCTACAGGTTTATTAACGTTTACACATCTCATGTCATGATCACAAAATCACTTTGTAGCTAATACAAAATAATTGTTGAAATGTGTAGTTACAACAGTAATAAACATGTTATAAACAAGTAGTTACCTAAACTGCACAAATTACATGCTGTTGTATCACATCAATCAGAAGATTGCTTACAGATGCTATAGAATAGATACATTGAAATCTGCTAGCTACCTAACCTATGACCTACTCTCTGCTGTCCTGTAGCATGGGTTGGCTCCATCAGCTATGGTTTCATCATGGTCTGTGGGCCCCTGTCTGGGAAGCTGACAGTCAGGTACGGGGCCAGAGAGATCTCCATCCTAGGATCCCTCATCATCATGATCTCCACAGTGTGCTCGTCCTACGCACCCAATCTAGGAACACTGTTCTTCACACACGGCTTCCTCACTGGAGTGGGCTCGAGCTTTGCCTTCACCCCAGGTTGGTACAAGGGAGGGAGGGAATTAGCTAGTGGTTAGTTATACTATGGCAGGGGTCGGCAACAGGCGACCTGCGAGTTAGTTTTTTGGGCCCCCCAAAGTTTTTAGGATGATAGTTTTGGCTTTAAAAAAAAGCTCCAACAAAAATTGTCCCGCGGCTGAATCTAGTTGCCTACCCCTGCACTATGAATTCACTAAAACTTCCAATCCTTCCACAACTTTTCTAGTTCATATTGTATTCTCATGGCCAGGACAGCTAACACATTATCTCACCTCCATCTCCAATCTCCCTCCTCCTCCTCCTCCTCCCGTGGGGCAGGTATGATCATGGTGAGCCAGTACTTCACCACCAAGCGTTCCCTGGCCACGGGGATAGTGATGTCAGGGGGAGCAGCAGGGGCCCTGGTCCAGACCCGGCTCCATCTGTTTCTCATAGACGCCCTTGGCTGGAGGCAGAGTCTCCGCGTGTTCTCAGGTCTCATGATTATTTGTGTCATCACCGGCTTCACCTACCTGCCACTCAACCCCAAAGGTACTGCAGGACGTTCAGACCCACAACGGTTTTTATTTCTTTATTACAGGTTACCATTTTAAATGATGAGCATACAGTAATGGGATCATTTATCACATCATCATGACTGAGTGCACAATTGATTTAACTACCTCAACTGATTTTTATGTGTACGCTTTCAAACTAAAATTGTATAAAAATTTCATATTAATCAAAAGCTATGTGTTACTGATGAGGTTTGAGTGATTTATATTTCAAACGTATTTGAAAGGTTACACTAGAAGTGTGGTGGATAATTTGAAGAACTCTCCCTTGAAGAAGTTTGTTGTGGACCTTGGCCTGTGGAAAGACAAAGTCTTTCTGATCTGGGTTGCAGCCAATGGACTGTGTAAATTTGGATTCTTCATTCCATATGTCCACTTGGTAAGTTACATACTGATGTAAACAACTGAAGGCTCAGTTGAAACAGTACGACATTATAGTTTGGAACCATTCTGTAGTTTTACTCATACCTCAAAGATGAGTGAATGTAGTTTAGGTACAAAATGTGTGTGTGTGTGTGTCCTGCTCTAGGTGAAGCATGCGGTTCAGCTGGGCATCCCAGTCCACAGCGCCACTAACATCATGCTGTTCCTAGGCTTGACTAGCATGATCAGCCGGATCATCTTCGGCAGGATCTGTGACTCAGAGAGAATCAACAGGCTCTACATCAACCAGGCCTCTGTGTTCGGTGTTGGTGGGTTGCCCGTACGCCTATACGTCCTCACTGTCATTGTGACCGTTAGTAAAGCAATACGACACGAGAGAGTGTATGTTATGGCGATTATTATCACGGCTGTGCTGCAGTAAAATGTACAAGGTGAATTCTGCAGACCGTACACAACCGAACACCTGTCTCCTACTGTGTTTCCTCCTGTGTTGCCAGGTCTGCTGTACATGTTGATCCCACTGCTCCATTCCTATGTCTCTCTGGTGGCCTTCGGCCTGTTCCTGGGGATCGCTGATGCTGGCAACTACATCCTGCTCCCTGTCCTGACCTTTGACCTGATGGGGGCCGAGAAGATGCCCGTGGCCTGGGGGTTAATGCTCACGGTCAACGCTGTCAGCTGCTTGGGACCGCCCTTTGCTGGTAGGTTCACTGCAGGTGATGTTGTTGTTGTAACAGTACTTATTCTTAAGTTGGAGGAGTGTAAGCCATGTCAGTACAGCCAAACAATGACTGAATTGGATCAAAAGTTAAACCAATCTTTTTGGCAGATGTGCAGAGGTTACATCACTGTCTTTGCATGAAGGAACATCATAAAAGTAGTATGATGATAAAAGTCATAGTCATCATATCCTTGTTGTTTGAAGTCTCAGTCATTGTCCCGGTTGTTGTCCCGGTCAGGTTGGATGAATGACATGACAGGAAGCTACAACTTGGGCTTTGTGGTTGCCGGGGTGTTGAACGTGGCAGCCTGTTTTGTCTTGGCCTTGATCCCCATAGCCAAGAGCTCAACCAGACAGACACGCAAGAGCATCATGAACGTCACCATCGACCGCTCCACATACGAAATCACGCAGTGGGCCGACAACCTGCCTCCTATCGCGGAGGTAATACACCGGTACCTCTCTCTACTCACCAGAAGATGACACTGTTGTTCTTTTGTATAAGGGTTAGCAATCTAACAAAATATTTTGTTTCATTTTCAATTCTAATTGATGGTGCAAGTTTTTCCTGACCACGTGACTTGACCAGGAAAAAAGTTATGGTCACGAAAAACTTCTAGCCCTAATTATAAAATGTATAATTACTCATAATACTTCAATATCAATTGTCAAATAGGAGGAGCCACCAGTGTCCAAATATGTGAACTACTTCTCTACGACTACGTTCCGTAGTCCAGAGATTACTGAGAGTAGACCTGAGGTTTACAGAGGAGATGATGCCGAAACCGCAGGACCTGCTGTCAACCGGCTATAGCAACACCACCAAGCATCACCACCCCTTCTGCCTCATCAGGAGAGAATAAATGTATCTTTTCACTTAGGGGAGCAAATACAATAATGTATTAATACAGTGTTGGATGGTATTATTATAGTGAATTAATCTGTTTTCATTCAAGAGAGAAATGATAAGCACAGGACGTGTTACAGTCATTGTCCAGTAGGTGGCACTTCTGTACCAAGTGAAAATAAAAGTCTATATCAGAGCACTGCTCCTCAGCAGTTATAATTAAGGACCTCTCCATCTATACTGCAAAACACACTCTATAGAGAATGACACTGACACTTTTTTCAAACACAAAATATTTTATTTTCAGCACTTAGTTTTGACTGAAATACATCATGAAACAGTTAGTTTGTTAGCTGTTACTTATAATAATTAACAGTAAGAAAGCCTTCAACCAACACTGTACTTTCAAGTCATTCATCATTGCAATATTAAGTCCAAAGCCAACAGGCCATAAGAGCTTCACTACACACTGACACCAGCCAGTAAAATAACAAACTATTAAGTCCAACCACATCCACTCTGTCACAAAAGTTACAACTGCCTCTTGGAGATACTGCCTCTCAGAGATACTGTTAAAATGTGATAGTAGCATTTCCTTCACCAAATAAATTCCTCTGAATCAAATCCCACAGATTAACAAAACTCCCATTGATGTATTATTGCAAAAAGCAAACAAATATGTCTAATTTCCAAGAAAGAGCAATGAGATGGAGTGCTATTTGACCAGCTCCAATATTGTATTAAAGTGCACTAGGGATTTGGCATACCTTAGCAGAACAGATTAACATTGAGCTGAAGTTGATGAAAAGTGTGCTTCCTACTAAATTAGATGATTATGCATAATAAATGGATGGAATAAAACGGACAGGCCATGGCTACACACCAAAGTAGGATACATCATCTTATATGGGCAAACGGCTTCATCAGCATAAATTATACTGAAATAGTCAAGTACTTGTGAGGCAGTTCAACAGTATCCGAAAGCGCATCCTATGTATGCTAGTCACAGTCTTTCTGGCTGGCTCATCAAATACTTGTGGGAGATGACAACGTAATAGCGTTTTCATTATCAGCAGGACAAGGGCAAATTCTTCAGTCCTGCATAGGAGCAATGACTCCTCACTTCTCTGAAGAATGTTAAAGAATAGTGTAGCAGCAAGTGTGGTGCCCTTGTTTCACAGCAACGTTGATACATTGTTGCTAATACTATTGCTTAGTGTTGCGTGTGAATGTAGAGAGGCCACATTCATGTTTTTGATTTAGAATATTTTCAACCAATGTCTGAAAGGGTTTGATGTGTTATTATCAGACTATATCAGACTATACCAGACTATTTTGTCTTTGGCAAATGTGATAGTCAAGGACCAGGCCCCTAAGAGTGAACAGTGAGCAGTAAGAATTGTCCCTCATATCTATGCTGACTCAATCCTGTAAACATCTGTGCACACCTAAGACCCGTTTCAATCAAACTCAGTAACTTAACCCGATCCCCAGGGTCAGTCAAAAACACCACTCTTCTTGTGCTGCAATAATTCACCTTCGGATTCATGTACACCACAAAACAATGTTTGTAGTGTGTTGAAACTCAACTCAACTGTATGTAGAGTGTTGTCTTTGACGAAACCTGGAAGGCTGGTTATTGGTTCTGAATGAATAGGTGGGTCTGGTTCTGAATTAATAGGTAGGTACTGGTTTTGAACCTAATTCACTAATAAGTGCATTGTGCTCTTCAACATAATTCCTTGACTATATATTATTATTATTATTATTATTACTATCTGTAATGGTAGAATAGCATTATTGTAGAAGATATACAGTATGTGGCTTATTTCCTCCTTCTGTTCAATGGCCTTGTGAAGTCATGTCAAAGGCAGTTCTGATATCGGGCCTTGGTGCCGTGTGAATGTTATTTCCCCTCCCACTGTTTCTTCATAGAGCAATGTTACAGAGCAGACATCACCACTGTAGCAGGCCTTGTACTGTAAGAGATGAAGCTGCTTATGTGTTTGCTTGTTTCATTTAGATAAGACCTGTGTGTGCCAGCTATGTGTCAGTCAGAACATACTTTATCTGTCCCTTCACTCAGACAATTCCAACTCTGATGTGAGATGTTTGTCTAAAAGCGACCAGCCAGCCAACAGAATTATAAACAATATGTATTCTAAATATCTGCAATAACAAAAATGCACAATACAAACTGAACACAGGGAAATACACAAAAAAACATATGTACGTGTCATTATCTCATTATGTACAGTCAGATCCATTTCTGGTTGCACTCATTCAACATGTAAAAGTCATCCTCGTTAAGGCTTGTCCTGTAGATACTGTAACTGGCCATGCAAAAAAAACACATTCCATTACGAGCAGGTAAACTGGACAGGGGAAAATAAAGCTGACTTTGAAACATTTTCATTATATTTTAAGGTCCACTATATTCTGTTGATGGGCTTCTGTAATGTAGCATAATTGGTACATGGTCACATCACAGGAGTCTTTTCAGGCAGACTGAGGATGAAAGGGAACAGTATGCCCTTAGCTTCCAGTGGTGGCCTCAGAGGTTCCTCTACAAAGTAAGACCCGTCCTCCTCCACTATAAACTGCAGAATCTGAGTCTTGTTCACACAATAGATGCAGTTTCCAATGACGGCACACCTGAACGGCAAAGGGGTGCCCTGTCGCTGCGACACACAGTCGTGCCACATTTTCACTATAGTGTTGTACCTGAACACATTGACCCCCTGGTCACGGTTGACGTCAAACCTGTAGATGAAGCTTTTCAGGGCCACCATGTCGGTTGACTTCTTCCTGCTGTTGTTGTAGGGGCACTCCTGCCACTCGTCCCTCTTAGGGTCGTATTTTAGGAGACGGTAGAACAGAGACCCTCCAGAAACATAGAGCTCTCCATTACATGAGGTGGCTTCATGGGCCACTGCAAACGCCCCTTTGGGTAAGGGAGCCACCGTGGTCCATCTGTCTGTCCGAGGATCGTACTTCTCCACTGTGAACAAACACTCCCCTCCTATGGCGTACAGGTTACCTTCCATAGACACTAGCTTGAGCTGCGACCGTGCCTGGTTGAGCGGCCGAACCTCGCTCCAGCGGTTAGTGATGGGGTTATAACAAAATACCTTGTCTGAGACCTTGCCCTTGTCCCCAAATCCCTTTATCCCACCGGCCACAAACAGGTAGTTGTACATGGTGCAGATCCCACAGCCCTTAGTGTTAATGTCCTCCGGCATCAGAGTCAGAGGTCTCCAGTCATTGGCTGCCTCGTTGAAGTAGTAAATCATGTGGTTCTCCTCGAAGGAAGCCAAGGACAGAGGGCTCTGCGGTCGACTGTTACAGCGACTCTGAGGTCGGCTCCCGACGTGGTCGAACACATCGTTGATCTCGGCGACCATCAGGGACCTCTTTCCCTCCATTCTCTTCTTCAGGACCAGATCCCTCTCCGACCCCGTCAGATGTCCGTACACCGCTTGGTCCCGCAGGATCTGGAGGAAATTGTCACTCATGAAGCGATAGGCCGTCTCCTTCAGTTCGTTAAGTCGTTGCTTCTTGGCGATAGTTAGAATCTCGTAGCAGTTCTCTGCTGTGACCTGCTCTGAGATGGTATCCATAGCAGCCTGGACGGCACATGGGATCTGTAAGATCTTAGCTCCTGTGATCACCTCTACCACATTGTCCTTGTGTACATTCATCTGAGAGGTGTAGATATAGTCTATCAGGATGGTCAGGGTCTTGTACTTCAGCCCTTTCACTTTCAGGATGTCTCTCGACTGACGAGCCTTGAAATAGTCACTCTTCTCTGCCAGAACAGACTTGTGAACACTGATTTTCTGGCCACCGACTTCGATCACTAAATCCGGCTCCTCTTTAGGCGTTGTGTTACTGACCCCACCATGGCCACTACTGTCCCTGCGTCCTTGGCTCGACTCAAGCCCTGACTGTCCATACAATGTGTCATATTCTGTGGCAGAGCTGTGGCTGAACAAGCGCTCCAGCTCTTGTATGGTTGGCTGGTTGTCCGCGGTGATACAATGAGTGTCAGGCGCGGCGGTCCCCTGCTCCGGGGAGGCGGTGACGTTTGTGATGTGACACTGACTCCTCACTATGCTCTCTCTGTAGAGGGACAGGGACCCTTCCACTTCCTCTCTGACCACTCCCTTGAAGCATAGAGAGGGACCCACACTGCAGGGCACTTTGGCCCTCGCCCCATTCATATCCTCACTGATACCGTTTCTGCCATGAGTACAGTTCTCGTCTCTACCAGCATCAAGCTTGGGTATGTGAGATGTATTTGCTTGATGAGAAAGATCAGTAATGTGAAACTGATCTGTATTTGAGATGTATGATCCATCACCCTGTGGATGGTCAAAGTGATGATTCCCAATCACCGTACCACCATCCAACAAGTACTCCTTTGTAACTGGTGTGCTCTGTCGACAGAATCCTTGGTCGTCCAGTATGAATCCCAGGTCTGGAGCATTGGTGTTCCCCTCCTGCTTCAGTGGGAGGGGACAGACACCCCCATCCTCATCCGAGGGGGAGGAGAGGAGGTCAGAGCAGACGGGATGGTGGAAAATGACGTCTGCCTCCACTGTGTGCACCCCTCCTCCCTGTCTCTGTCTGTCATTCATCCTGTCTGATCAGAGCTAGTGGTAGTCCAGATCCTCAGTGATCATAGTGAGGAGAATCCAACAGAATCTTCTAGAATCACTGCTCCAGATCTTGGCAGGTCTCGTCCCTTGAACCTATTTGACACGTTAGGGGAGAAGAGAAATATATGAAAAGTCAATGAAAGTCAATACTGCTTCGATGGCAAGTTTCAAAGAACTAAAACGTAAATTGTTGCCAGTGCTACTTGAAAACTCTGAGGGGCGCCCTTACTCCACAAGCAACAAATGGAGCCAACTTTGGTATATCTTCAGAGCTTTGTGTAGTAGCTTTTGTTTTCTACAAATTGT